TATCCTAATTTGATCAGATTGATCCCATTCTGATCCAAAACATTAAATCATCCTCAGGATATTTGTAATTATCATTGTACTAATATAAAACGTCCCTAGAATATCATTTTGATCCGATAAAATTTTGATCACTTATATTGATAAATTGTATTTTTCAACTTCCGACATATATATGTTATATACATTTATGTATTTTACGTATATTATAGAGACATATCTTTGTAATTTAATTTTTAATTTTTTAACATTGTTTATATAAATATCCCACACAACATACTGAATACTACTCTTTGTTTCGGGAAGAATTTATAGCTTTATAGAATTTATAGCAGTTATAGCTTATTTCGTTTTTTATTGTACATAATTTATTTTTAAATAGGTATATGAATTATTTATTAATTGACAAAGCGAAAGCAGTTTTTGGTATATTTTACAATATCAGTTTTATCGATTATAAGTACTGTTTTAATGAAAATTTTCCATTTTACTAATTAAACTAATTATGAATAACTCTATTTAAAAAAGTACTTTCAGAGGCTCCATGAGCACACTCTGATCAAGCTAAGAATAAGTGACGAACTCCATTCACATATGCCTCTTTATAGAGATCCACGTCATTTTCTCCTTACGGAAACGGAGTCCATCTCGCGGAGATATTGCGTACTATGCCGCTTGCCTGGCAGAGTATACGTACACTATAGGCGTACGTATACTACGGACGCCGCGGCGCCGCCAAACAAGCGGCGTAGTACGCAGTACCATCGCGAGATGGGCTCGTTTTCCATAAAGAGAAAATGACGCAGATCTCTATAAAGAGGCGTATGCGAATGGAATTCATCACTCTTAACTTGATCAGAGTGTGCTCATGGAGCCTCTGAAAATACTTTTTTTAAATATAGTTATTTATGAATAACTTTATTTAACTAACTATAGTTAGTTTCATGACGCATACTCGTTTCCTGCATTTTGTATCATATCGAGACGCGGGTATACTCTTGTAAAAAAGTACTACTGCGCACTG